GATATTTGAAATTTTAGTGAATATTGATATAGACCCCTTACGATGATAGGTAACCGTTCACAAAAATATTTTCGTACTTGAAATGCGTACGGGTGTGTTATGTATTATCATCTTTAGACGCTGCGGGCCTAACTTGTTAATGAGCCAACTGAATTTTTAGTTTATTGCTCCTAAATCCTGAATGTACAAAATATATGTGACACATTACGATAGGATGTAACAGATAGATGTTTTCTCATTTAGATTTCGTTAGAGTTGGCTCTCACAAAGCCATAGGCAAGACTGGATTATGGTTATGTTATTAAAAAAAGTAATTGGATCACTGTCGTGTAAGAGACGATATTAATTTGAATAACACTTGGAAACTGACTCAATGTTTCTGGTATATAGTGTTGATCACGTTAATTTATGTGAATGTGGATCAATCTTAGAGCTTTATCAAATTTGATAATAATTTACGGTTGAATATTTAAAAAACTGATGATATGAAAAAGTAATGAAAAAATAGTCTTAGTAGAGACAGAGTATTCATAACTCACTGTTTTAGATAGTTATTCCCGCAAGATTGTGTATTGGTAGTTGTTTTTTTATCTATTTTAAATGATGCTAGTTGTGTAGATCGATATTGGAAGCCTTTGTCTTAAGGTTAGATTAGTTGGATATGGTCCTAATTGCTTATAATAGTTACGTGTTTCTAAAGACCGCGCATGGTTTCAGGAATCCTTGTTTAGGACAAATCGTATCTAAATATGTGTCAGTCCTTTCGGTTAGGAATGCGCGGTAACGGGTAGGATTATATCGATATATCGATGTGGCATTTCGTCTTTGACGTTGGCGCGGTACTGCACCGCTCGTGCCCCGTCATTATCGCATCATGTGCACAAATACTCTATTCTAATTTAAAAATATATATTAAAAAAAAAACACTGTTTTTGATACTTAAGGTTAGTCGGTGGAAGTTGTAATGGGATGTTTAACATTAGTTGCAAATGTTAGATAGTGGAATGAGTGTGGACAATAACGATGGTCAGTCCTGTTTTTAATGTAATCTTTGTGATACACCACAAGCCGTGGGTCTACCACCAGTTTTTAATCTTACTCTATTAGATTTTTAAGTTTAACAATTGCTTCTACGAGGTTTTGCCGTAAAGTTAGGCGTATTTTTTGCTATTGGGTATTTAGCGGATTTGATATATTTTGAGCCATTGTTTAGTGTGCATAGTCTACTAATATTTTTGCTACTCGCTCGCCGTTAATACTTCTGTCCAATATATAGGAATGGCATCATGAATTATATATGTGTGGACCAAATCTGGTTTTTGTATTTTAATGGTGAGTTGAAAAATAAATGGGATATACAGGATTTATTTTGCCAGTTCCTCTTAACTGTAAGTGAGAATTTCTAAAATATTTTCATAGTTGTAAGTGTTGATAAATTAATTTTTTACATATTAAGTACTGTGTAAGTGAGTACACAAGTATTATTGCTCTTCTTGCTGAGCGTGGAAATTTTCAGATTTTGTTTCATTACCGTACCCCGATCCTCCAGTATGACATGGCAAGGAATTGACCGTATATTCTATGGATTTGTTATAAGGGCATACGTAATATCGAATAGTTAGTTTTAATTGTGGTGCTAAACTACACTATATGTCGACACCAATAATGTATTTGTATATTTAAGTTTTAAGTGACATTTAAGTGACAGTGTTAATTCAGTTTGTCATCTATACAACTAGGCAAGTGTAATGGAGTTATGGTAAAAAATATGTTTGTGTTTCCAATTGCTCGTCAAAAATCACAATACACTTTGCCTAGTATTGTTTCACTGACATTTATCAGTATATAAGAAAAGTTGTTCTGACATTTAATCAGTTGTATGTTTGCCATAATTTAAAATGAATTCAGTATTTTGGTCGACCGAATAACTTATAACGGTATTATACAGTGTATTTGATTGATGAGATGTTATAATGTTGGATATCAAGTAAGACGGATTCAGTTCAAAAGGTAATTAAAAAAAGGCTTACTATTCTTTTTTAAATTTCAAGTTAAATTTATAGCAACACTGCCACTTTAAAATGCCCTTTATTAATGTATTTTTAATGCTGCATTCTGTTTTTTTTTTTATAATTGTTTCTTGTTATGATTATTTTGTTGATTTAGCAAAGCTTTGTAGGCGCGACAACTGTTTATATGAACTCATTAATAGATTATGTAACAGCAAAATTCGCTAGTCCTATCTCATATATAACTTTGGATCTGTCCGTTTAAAGAAAATACTTAGATGTTTTAAGATACTTAAAGAATAATACAAAATATACTGTCTGTGGTGAATATCGAATTTTATGAGCTTATTAAAACTTAATTCCGTGGTAACGGTATTGCGAAAATATTGTATCATGGTGTGCTAATTTGTATATGCTTTGATAATGCACGTCTCGCAATTCAAAAATTGTAAACTTTATTAAATTTAAATAACGTTTACTGCATAATTTATTAGAGGACACATTTAGTTCCCCTCCGTTATGTAAAAAACAAGTTGGTTATTTAAATCATGTCTCAATCATTGCATTTTAACAGAACATATCTTACGTTATTATTTTACCTCAAAGTTCTACATAACTGAGGGGCATAAAAACCAACATTTTTCGTTGATATGAATAAAATATTCTACTCCGCTAATTGTTATAATAACATAGTATCGATATCGATATTTTTTTATAAACAACACTGTGTTCTAACTTTTGTACCGGTTTTAATCTTGAGATGTTTTAAAAATATGTAATTGAATTAGCAGAGTGGAACTAGAGATGTGCAATATCGAATCCAGCTGGTAATACACTAAAAAAAATATGTAAAAAAAAACAAAAGAGTGTTTGTTAATGAAGCTAAATAGTATTCATAAGATGCCAAGTCAGCTCTGCATTGGACCAAGGATGTATTATGTAAGTGTAGTTCATTTCACTCGCTGACGGTACCTATAGCATTTTACATAGTTGAAATCACATAAAGAAACGTAAAAATAAATGAATATGATAATATAAAATAATATTTTGACATGTCTTCTGTCTCTCCGTGTTAGATCCATGTATACAAGTATATTTGTGATTAATGTTTATTCGTAATACAAGGCGTGCGTTGACAGCTAAATGTGGCAGACTGATTTAGAACAGGTATGTACTCGAATGAGGGAAACTTGTCACCGTAAGTTTGTAGGTGCGTTCTGCTCCTTGCAGTATTTACAGTGCGGGCGGTTATGTGCAAACATTAATTTGTCTGATAATATTATAATAGATAATATTTGCTTTTTTTTTTCTTTTTAGAGATAATGTTAGAAATAACTCTATTTAGCTACATTATAAAATAACCAATTTTCATATTAAAGTGCTTCAAATATTTATGGTTAATGTAAAACCGTTTTTTTATTAAAAACGCAGAATACACAAAAGCAAATGCTTTTATATAAGTATATACTTTCTAACCAATACCTATTTGACTTACATTCCATTGAATAAAATTTTGAATAATTTTGAAAATTATTTTTTTTTTTGTCAAAAATGATATAAGATTAATATTGTACGTAACCGCCCAAACTAGATATCGTAGCGAAATACAATATCCAATTAGGCGTATCGGTGTTATGAATCTAGTTCACAATTTATATTATTAAAAAATAGATTACGCCAACTGTCTTGTTCAAATGTTGTGAAATGTAAGTGTTAAATGTTGTCCTCCTATCAAACCGAATAGGGTTATATTGTTTATCTGAGTATTCAGTAGTTCATGCTAGATGCAGTCATGATTTTTTCTTACTAATGTTTTGTTACTGTTTTGGCACTGTATTAATTACCTTCTGACAAAAAATATATAATGAATAAAATGTGTAGTTTTATTTTATCCTATTTTTGGAAATACGCAATACATACTACTACACTACTACATGATTTTGAAACGCCCCGCATGATGGGTCGTGGTCTGTCTCCCCACAGAGCACTGTCTGTGTTCTGTGTCTCCCAATACGAATCGTTGCCATCGAGAAAGCTTGTGCCCCAGTAGTGGTGGGATATTCATAGGCCGATGATGATATTTTTAATCTTACGTATAGGACGCCCCTCGCAATAATAGTCTCCAAAAATGAAACTCAAGATATAAGTCGAGTGTGAGATATGCCAATACTATTTCTCACTGCCCGCTCACCATCTTAATATCGCCCGTATCTGGAGCATTTCTAAAGTTCGCCATGTTACATGTACACTGGTAATCTTCTCTTGCAATCGAATGTGTCCGTCAGGCTGGCAGCGCATTTGATATGAATTCTTGACTCATTAGTCTTTTATTAAGGAGTCCGCTCCGTTACAAAATAGTGACAAATAGCCATGTTACGTATGTGTTTCGGAAACAAATGAGTCTGTGGCGCCGCTGGGCTGACTTTAGTACTAGTACTCTGTGCTGCTAGTACTCTTGTGTTTATAATTAATTCCAAAAAACTTTACAGGTCATCATTTTGGGAAATAGCGACGAAAAATAGCAAAAGTAAACCAATACTTTTAGATTGTAAATTAATGCGGCGCTGCTGTGTTGACGTCAGATTGGTAGCGTCACGCTATATCTTCTAAACTGTGTAGCATTTTAGTTCATTTTTCTTAAACATTGTCTTATAACATTGAAATATTTGAAATCCTGCGAGTATTCACCACTGTAGGGTACCACGAATCAAATTGAAACATGTAAAATTTTCCAGATGGTAATTACAAATACAAATACGCAGTCATACCAATCCTCAATTCTACTGAATTTTGGGTGGCTCCACACCGATGATCGGGAAATTCCCTGTACTTAAGTAATGTAAAATAAATCTAATGCCAAGACAATATAGCAATCGACGGGTGTGAATAGTCCATCAGTATATGTAAAATAGTGTAAGAAATCAAATAAATTCCAATATTTAAGAATAATTTATTAACAGTATCTACAAATTATTTACATTACTAACAATTAATCAGTCGTCATACTTCATAACGACTTTTCCTAATCTCCCTTTAGGCACTTCAATAGAAGGAAGAGTGTCAGTAATAATGCCAGTGGCAACAGTTACATTGTTCTCTCGTATCGTGAAAGGTTGACCTTGAGTCATCACCATGCCTTCCAGTAAAGTCAGATAAACTTCTCCATGATCGCCAGGCATCATCATATGTAATGATGGATCTGAAATAAATTTACATGAGAATTGTAAGACTGTCTATAGAGGGGTTTTTTCTTTTTGATTTTTATTATATTTAAAAAATTACAGTCCACCGAATTATACCGCGTAGTGGTCTCTTACGTGAAATTGGCAGGATTGTCGTTAAAACAAAATAGCTATTAAGATAAAAGAAGAAGAAGAACATACTGGTTAATATGATTTTGGTTAGGTATATTCAAAATTTCTTGCTTTGTTCCATTATTTATTGGAGCAGCAAAGCTGCAGGTGCTGAATTTCAAAATATATCACTTATAAAGAAGAGATTTTCACTAAACATAATCGGATTAATACACACTGTCAAGCTCTAATAAACTATATTTGTGAGCAGTAATAAATATATAGATGATTTATTAAAAAATAACCAAAAAGAAATTAAAAAATTTGCTTTTGATTTAAAGCTAACTCATATGAAAGAACTCGAAAGGCACATTACACACAAATTTTATATATGCATCTTTCTTACCCAAATCAATTCTACATGCTATATTCCAAGTTCCACTGAACATTTGCTGTGAATACTTAGAGAATATTGGTTTCTTCCGCCCACCCTCATTTCTTGTGAGAAAGTATATCTTTGCTTTATAATGGTTGCTAAGTTTGAAACTTTTGGCTGCACAAAGCAGCATTCCAGTTTCCACAGACTTTATCTTCATGCCCCTTAGTAGAACACCTACATTATCACCTGCTAAGGCCTAGAACAAATTAAATTTAAACATAAGCAATAAATATTTTTGCTATATTATTTTTTCATTACATTCTTTATGCAAGAACAATTTTATGTCACTTTGATTATTTTATAACTCACCTCAGTAACGCTTTTCTTGAAAATCTGAATATCAGATAAGGTAGTTTTGATATTGTGCCCAAATCCAATTAGATCGGCTTCATCATTTCTTTTCATAACACCTCTCTTTATGGTTCCTACAACAACTGTTCCTCGTCCAGGTACAGTAAAAGCATTGTCTATGGGCATCAGAAAAGGAGACTGCAAATCTCGTACAATGGGAGGTACATAGTCATCCATTGTCTCCAAAAGCTTTCTTATTGATGGAGCACCTAGAAAAAAGTATTTACCCTGTAAAATATTTATAGAGCTAAGTATTATTTTTTATTTTAATTGAATTTATTTAAGTTAAGAATAGAACCCACCAAATTGTTTATTTGATTTAATAAACAAGATGATTTTTGACAGGCCCTTATATGAAAGAATAAGTATGATCTACCACCTTTATTCCTTCTGTTGAATAATTGTCACGTAAGAATCTAAAGTAAAAATTAACAAAAATAAATATTGTAATAGGTAGATGTCATTTTACTGCCTGAAAAATAATCCCTTTTTGAAATGATACTACTGTAACAGTTAACAAGACTCAACTTGCTAATTGGTTACTAAGGTACTGTTGCCTAATAAGTCTACTGTTTTCAACTGCTAGAGTGCTAAAACCAACTAGCATAATAGCTGAATAACAGTCCTACACTGACAGATCCTTATGGACAAAATAATGTAATTTGAAGTTGTATTTTTTAAATGCAACATATTTAATGTAGAATACAAAGAAGATTTACATACCGAATTCAGATTCATCTCCATTCAACGCTTTCAGAGCAGAGCCACAGATCATAGGCACTGTATTTCCATCATAACCAAAATCTGACAATAACTCTCTCATTTCTATTTCCACCAATTCTAGTAGCTGTAATAAAAGGTATTGAAATTTTATTCTATTAGAAAATTAAAAACCAGTATATTTATGTAGTTGATTAAATTGCAGCAAAACAAAGGTCACAAACCTCATTATCTACAATGTCAGCTTTGTTTATGTAAACCAAAATATATTTTATTCCCACTTGTTTAGCCAACAAGAGGTGTTCTCTAGTCTGCGGCATAGGGCCATCATTGGCTGCTACTACCAAGATTGCTGCATCCATTTGAGATGCACCAGAAATCATATTCCTTATGTAATCTGCATGACCTGGGCAGTCTGTATGTGCATAATGTCTCACTTTAGTACTATAGCCAACATGGGCAGCGTTTATTGTGATACCTGTAAAATTCAATAAGATATTATTATTATGCCATTTTGCTACACTAAGAAGGGTCAATGATGGGTTAAGTAGAAAGTCTTAAAATACAGTGATAACTGCTTTACTAAATAATTTTAATTTCTGCTTGTTTATAATATGGCATTTTAAAAGAGTGAATGGCTTTGATGTAATAGGTATTTTTGATGAAAGTGTATGTAAGGCTGAGCCATAACTGCATTTAAATTGACACTGTTTACATAGAATTGAAAATGCAAAACATTATTGCTGTTTTTGAGTAGGCTAATGTGTTTGTTAGTATAAAAAATATTGAATATAAATTTTGCGACCTCAGACTTTAATTAGGCATAGAACGGTCAAAGTTTGACTAGTGTTTGAGTTTCTAATAGCATTGATATGTTTAAAAAGTCAATTATAAAAAGTATTGACTATATTAACCTCTTGATCTCTCTTCAGGTGCCCTGTCGATTTCGTCGTATGAAACAAACTTGGCTAAGCCATCGTTAGCCAACACTTTCGTTATAGCCGCAGTCAGAGTAGTCTTTCCATGGTCAACATGACCTATTGTACCTATATTACAATGTTTTTTCTCCACAAATGCACTTTGGGTTTTCGTTGAGAAATCTTTCACTAAAACTCCTATAAAAAGTCTAGTGCAGGAAGGTGCATTACTCTGAAAATGAGTAGATTTAGCGAAATTATTATAAAACGATCGAATCAACAATCGTCCATTCATTTTGCTGTTTTTACACAAATAATACAGACATTACGAAATAATTATATTTGAGGTTATAAAAATTAGTGATGAGCCCCTCACTCGCGAGGTGCCTCGTTTGAGTCCTCATTTCGACAAAATGAGGGAGTACTCGTTTTTCTTTTTTGAACCAACTCATTTAGTTCCTCACTTTTTGAGGCTTCAAGCACGAGGCGCGAGCACAGATATTAGACCTCACACACCAGAAAAGCGAGTTGTTTATAATGAAAAGGCGACTCGATACTTACTCAATATTGAGGGAACGGGTTAAGTTGTACCTATGAGTTGCTTGGAACGATTCAGGTTTGTTTATGTGTTTCTTCGCAAATACCTATTTAATTTTATAAAGATGAATGATATTAACTAGTCTTAAGTAAAAACCAAAGTTAATAAAAATGAATCGGTTTTATTTAGAAATATATTTATATTCCGTTGTTCCTTTTTTAAAATCGATTAATTAATGTTTATTATATTATATCGAATTTTCATAAATGGATCATTTGACACCATTAAAAATAAGTTGCGTGTTCACTCACCTCAAATGAGGGGTAACTCGCGAGCCCCTCACGAGGGAAAATGAGGCCCTCACTCATCCTCATTCAAAAAGAGTGAGTTACACAACGCTAATAAAAATGACAACTAATGACAGCTACACTTTTTTTTTAAATAAGAAAAGCAAAAGACGTACATTATACTGCTGTGTTAGGTGTTAATTTCTCATTCATTGCTAGAAGCGTCTGTTCATGAATGCACTAACGTCCATTAAGGTTTAATGACCTCTTAAAGCTCCTCTAAATATCAAATTAATGTCGAATTAAACTAGTGTAAATTTTTATGGACGTTTATGCAATTGACTGTATGGGGATGAGAAAGTTCTTTTTGCCTTTTGTATATCGTTATGAAACTACATAAATTTACTATATAGCGATTACGCCACTTTTCTATTCTGTCTAAATCTAGGAATGTCCAAGATTTGGATAACGGTTTTGTTCATCCCTACCTTTGTCGCAGTGGTGTAACTATACCGTTTGAGACCCATGGCAAATTCTTTGGATATTCTATTTTTTTTAAAATAATTGTGTAATAATAAATGTAAGGAGTAAGGAGTCCCCTTATAGCTGGGGGCCCGTGGCATCGTGCCGACTTTCCACCCTGTAGTTACACCACTGCTTTGTCGATCGGTTTATAATATTTCATTTTAAGACCTCAGCCAAAAAATAGTAAGTCTTGAAAGTAATGTCTTAAAAAATAGTTGTTGCTAATAAAAAAAATATAAAAAAGTAACGATATTTATTTAATTGTAATTCGATAAGATCACACTAACCAAGCACAGACGGATAGACTATAACAATAAATCTTTCAATACAGATTTGTCATTTAGACTTATTTAACGAATTATATTGTTACGAGCGATTTAGCTAATAATAAGACATTGAATTATATGTATTTACAGGCCAGATAAATTTATAGGTATCTTGTCATGATAGGTGCCAGTCTATTGATATTGTTGCGTGAAGCGGAGTTGTACGGTGCGAAGGAATCTGCTTGCCCGTTTAGAGCTTGTTCAATACCCATTAATTTACTAGTATAAACATCTGAACAAATTACCCTTTAATAAGTCAAAGTAGAGCTATCATTAAATTTATCTGCTTGAGTTCTAAAATAATTTAAATCCAGAGACGTTAAATAATGTGTGATCATTGTATTGAATACTGTGATGCCGTCATAGAAAGCACGACTACACTACGCACCTCTTACCCCGGAATGAACTTTGATATTTAAGTTGATCGAAATACCACTCCACTCGCAAGATCTTAATTTCAATGGAGTGACATCTTAACGCCAAGGAAATGACAAGAACATAGGTTATAGAAACAATAAGTCACGTCTAACTAGTCACCAAGAAATCACCAGTGGGCACGTAGTCTAAAGTATCCAACAACATCAAACTGGGCGGCGGCTGCGCATTTCACTGCTAAAGGAAATTCAGACTTATACAATTGTCTAGTTGCATGGCATTTACAATGTTTGAAACTGTGTTAAGTCCGACTGGCTCCGACCAGCCGAAGCGGAGCGCACAATTATGGATACATGAATACCTTTTTATAATAAGTCGCGTCAATAGTGATAAATTCATTATGATTTAAGTATTTTTCTCTTCTTCCAATGCAACCGTCAATAATAACACCACCATATTTTTTTTGCAAAAGCAATAAACTCAGTTAATAGTAGATCACATCAATACAGTAGAAAGAAACTGATATGAAATCATTTCACTAGATGCTGAGAGCATGACACGAGTGTTGCCGAACAATTAAAAGATCACATCACACAAACCTGTCGAATTATTCCACTTAATTTTAAACCTTAATGTATTAAAAGTGGAGTTCGATATCGGTTGCGGAAATTTGACATGTGAAGATAAATATATAAGTATTTAGAGAAGAGATTTAGTGATTGAAAAAAATTGCATTATGTACTTATATGTCAATTACATTCGTCAATAGAGCCCGCATCCCGCTATCGATCAACTTTAATGAACCATTAAGTTATTCTCTAAAAATATATTTTAAATTTTAATACATAACACATCATCACACATCCGGTTGAGAAAAGTTCTACAAACTTGGAATTGAATATTAATACTACAAAAGAAAATTATCTAAATATCATATAATTCCTATTTGTATGACAAGAAAAAAATATATATTGCCGTTGGGTATAGGAATTTTATAGTATAGGAATAAAGATGTCTCATGGTTTCTTCAGCTATAAAAACTTTTAGTTTGTTAGGTCCTTTTTATCTGAAGCTACTGTACATAATGCCTAATCAAAAATACAACTTTCAATAGGTCATGATTATGTCAAAAAGGCGGACTTAATGCCATAGTATACATACGACGACATAACGCGATAATAATATAACTATTTCATATTTCACGGGCAAATCAAAGGCCCACTCACTGAAAAATATAAAAAGTTAAACGTTAAGATAAAAAGGCCACTACAGGAGACAGTATCAGATTTACTAGATAAATTTGAAGATATTATCGCATGGTATAAACAAGTTTATAATATAAAAAGACAACTACCTAAAATCTACATCAATCCCACAGACGATTACTTAATCTATGGTATAATTTTAGTATGTCACATTTAGATATTTATATATTTAAACGACACGTTCTAAGATGAGAAATCTGTTAGCATTTTATAGCGTACGTCAAGTGGAAAAAGGGAAATCTTATAGAATCACTCTTGTATACAGATAAAAGATTTTATGAGACTGATGGCCGATGACTGATTAAGATGAATGGTAATATTATATAGGCCAGTGACTTAAAGACAGATGTGGAACGTAAATAAATTCATTTCAAACACGGGTTTTAATTACTATTAGAAGGTAGACTAGAAATCTTAAAAATAAAATAAAATTGCAATGTATAGTGACGACTTGGCTTATATTGGATCTTCTTTATTATCTGTTATAATTATGTGTGTACTATATTAGTCATTTATGCAAAACGGCAGTTGTCCCAAGATCTCAAGTTAAATTTACAATACAATATTGAAGTTACAGCTCATTCAAACTAAAAACAGCTAGAATGTCGTTAAGAAAATCGGCAATTCAAGTATCATCATAAATTATATTACAATACACAACTGAATTTATTTTATAAAAAAGCATGAACTTTTATCACTTCGAATAATATTATTTAATGTTAACGTTTAATACGATATAGTCAATTTGAATTGCATATTTCATTAAATATTTGTCTGCATAGCTATGAAGAGTGGGGAAATGGCTGGAAGGTGAGAAGCGCTTCAATGGCCCCACGTTGGGCGCCAACGTGTAAACCATAATCAAACCAATCAAGCAAACTCTTACAGTTAGGTACTTATATAGAAAGATTATACAATTAGAAACTGCCACCCCTCTACTTTATGTTGCTTCGATAATACTTGAATAACCCCAAATGCATAATCTAGACTAATTAGAATATTTTACGTGATAAATATCATACAGTCCGATCAAATAATGTTGGCGTATCTATCCTCATGTGCTTATTCTATGACAATACTTCTGTCACACTAACACTATGTACGATATATGTGATGAAAACAGGGCTTACGTGTAGTTTTAGTATATTTTACTATGTAGTGAGAGTTTATATTGGATTATTTGTTGGTGTTCCACTATTATCTATTAAACAGTTATAGGTATCAGGTATAAGATCATTGAAAGTTCAGTATAATTATTGTAGTCACGTATGATAAAATTGCAAGTCTTGCATATATACTGGATATGATAATTATAAAACAAATAGATAACATTAACAATTGATAGAAATAACAAAATAATCGGCGCCAAAATAGTTTACGAATTATAGAAAGTAGGAAAATGACAGTAGTTGAATCTTATTTCGATAGAATAAAGTCCATTTTCTTACAGCACACTCTTTTAAATTTACACTGGTCTTTCGCAGTGTTGAGGTTACATACAAGATTTCTTACAAAATTGACTTATAGATTTGATATTTAGTTGACTTAGATACAGGCAATAGAGTTTTATAAGAAATAGAATAACATTTAAAATCATAATGATAAATTACACTGCCAATTATATGAATGCTTATATGTAGCTACAACACTTCACAAAGGAACTGAAAATACTTCTTCTCAATACTCGATCGAGCAACGGAAATATAAGTACCTTTTAAATAATGACCTATAAAAGCGTCTTGGTATTGTACACTCTCATTGTTTTAACACTCTGTAATGAAGAGTGAATTCTACATTTGACTTCCAGATGAAATGCCGTACTGTCCTCAAATCCATGTTTGGATCAAGTACCTGTAATAAAGATTTAATAACATTTAATTATTGTAATATAAATTAAAAACATCACATCTGAATAGGAAAAAAGTGCAATTAAACTACTCGTATTTTGTTAATAAACTTTAACTAAATAGTATTTCTTTTTTTTTAAACCAGGCTTCATCCCTATTGAAAATTTGATTATTTTATGGTATTGAAACATAATTAAACTATTTACCTGATCACAGCATAACAATTCGACTCTTTCTTCGGGTGAATCGTTGCTGCTGTCTTCGTTTGCACTGCCTTTCCCGCTGCCTGCACTTGCGCCGTTGGCGTCACCGCTTCCAACTATTTTTTCGACCACGTGTTCGGCTACTTTACGACATTGTATGAAGTCGTTGGCCACCAGTCGGTCCTGAAAAGATATATACATTAATAAGTCATACAAATGCAGTCATCCCAAATGAGAGGTTATTGAAAGACTTGCGTTGAGCTTCAATAATTAACCCACAATTTATTTGGAAGCAATAATTTCTAGAATTGAATTAAACTCTTAATGTAATTGCATAAATGACGTGGCTCACTAATTTGTATACAGTACACTGTTGGAAGTTAGAGGACAAAAGACTATACGTAGCCTACTATATACTATGTGTTTCGTCCTCTATCCAAAATGCATTAAAGTTAAAATCAGGTGGAGAAATTCGAGTTTTATTTAACCTTACATGCTGTTGTATGTATAAGAGGCGAAATTTCGAAAATCCTGGTAAAATGATTAAAGAAGCATGGCAGCATCGGGAGATTTGTGCGATTTCCACCGAGTGCGAGTGAGACAGACATGTAATGCGTTGTATTAGCGGAATTAATAAGTTTGCTTTTTACAAATGCAGATTCACCATATGCCATATTAGTTGAAGTTATTGTAAATGTATATGTTCATATTCATATATAATATTACTAAATAATAGACAAACAAAAATGTACTAAACTTCTAGTGAATTAAAGACGATTCTATACAATAACACAATAAGGACACTAGAATAAACTAAGATTTATTAAGCAATAATTATTACCTTTTTCTGTCGGTCCTGTTTACTCTGACAACTAGAATGTGGTAGCAGGTAGAAGGGCAGCTTGTTGAGGTTTGGTGCAGACATTTCTATTGCAACCTCCACCACCCATGATGGCACTGTCTCAACAAGTAGGTTGCCTTCATTCTCTCCTCCTGCATCTCCCACCTGGTAGGTTTCAATCAAAAGTTTAACTTTAGAATTTGTCTGTTTGACTCAAAACTCAGTAAAGGTAAAGGTTTCATTGTGGCTTCTGATTTTAATTTAATAGAAATAGACCTTTTGAGTTACAAATCAAATGTAATATTTTTCTGTTTCTGTTATAATGCTAGTAAGCTGAATTTTGGTATACATTGTTATTATAGTTTTATAATGATAATGTAAAAAAAAAAACAAAATCAATATTGTGCCAGCAAATAAGTAGTTACTCATGGTCAAAGGCTATGCTTTGTGAAAAATTGGTTTCTCAGAATATCTTATGTCTAAGTAATTATCATGGTAATTAATTATTATTATTAAAAAATAATTGTCGATTAAATAATTCTTTCTCACAAACTTAAAATTCTACTGATTTTAAACATACAAAAAGAAAAGCTTATAATAAGATTAAACAACTATTGTCTTTTATTGACACTGGAGATGTCATAGACTGGAAATCACATTTTTAAAATACTGCATATATATATATATATATATATATATATATAATATTTAACATGGAACTCAGTGACTAGGAATTAGTAAGAACGCTTAATGTCAACAATTTTTCTAAGTTAAGATAATGTTATTTACCTGTAATCTGTAAAGTGTTCTACCGCCAACTTCACTGAAGATCAATGGTGTATGAAGTGGAACACTAAAGAAATTATTTCCTATGACTTTCATCCCCGCTTCATTCACTCTATTTGGATGATTCCAGTGTTCCAACAATGCTTGTAGTAGTAATGCCCCAAAATTTACTTTCTGATCATTCTCTGTAGTCAATCCAGCTTCTTTGGCGCTGACCCAAGCACTTAAACAATCTGTCTCATCTTGTCCTAAGTGTATTGTCAACATGCCAGTCTTTAAATCAACATTGAACCAATTGGGTACGTAAACCATTTTGAAACGCTTCTTCACTTCTTCCTCAAAGTCAACTTCACCTAAATCCTCAACTTTACATGCTTTTAAAACATCATATAATGCTACTTCATTATTTGTGTCTTTAGTCAATATATGCCGCTTATCATTCAAGACAGTGTAATGTTTTATTGCCGGACCTCCGGGAATGTGATGTAAGGGTTGAGTTTGATAAACATTATTAGTATTATAATTGCTTTGATTATATGTGTCTGAACTTAATGAATTTCTTGGTGGTAGTTTCCAGCAACGTATGTCAGATTCAGATGTGGATACCCATACGCCTTGTTGGTCAGCAGTAAAGCACAATTTCAATATAGGAGCAGTTTCTTCACAAACAATCATAAAGTTATCTGGGTTTCGGAGTTCTGTTATTATGACTAGTCTATCTCTTCCACCAGATATGATATGAGTAAAATTTTCAGTAGCTAAGAGAGCCCAGACTGCTTCGGAATGAACTCTGATTGTAGAAACGCACCTTTGCTGTGATAATGACCATAGTTTTATAGTCCCATCTGAACTTCCAGAGACACACTGAGAGCCATCCTGGCTTACTACTAGGGCTTTAACATTGTCGGCGTGTCCTTTTAACTTCATAAGCCGTGAACAGTTGCGTGGGTCCCACACTCTGAGAACTTTCTCAGTAGAACCACTAACAAGGATGGTACCTGGGGGATTCATAGCCAAACTGTAGATAGATTCCTTATTGCCTACGAGGCTCGAAGTTGTGACGGTGTTGTTACTAGCTGTAAGAGCAGTCAATGTGTTAACATCCCAGAGGAATATAGCTCGGTCTAAACCAGCACTAGCTACTTGTTCTTTATCTTTAGCATAAGCTAGCGTCCGTACGTAATCCTTGTGAGTGCGTAAGGTCGACATACAAAATCCTTTCGGCGCATTCCATACTTTAACGGTAGTGTCAGAAGAAGCACTTATAAGATTTTTTCCGCCACAACACAACACTATATCGTTCACCCAATCTGTATGGTGTTCCATGCTCTGTATATATCTATCTTGAACACCTGTAGCAGTGTTCCATACACGAATAATACCATCTCGGCCGGCGGAATACAGCCTGCCTTGTATAGGATCGAGCTGCAATGAACTAACGCCATTTTTGTGACGTCTCTCCTCTTCTTCACGTATAACAAACGATACCTGAGTTTTCTTACGCATCGTTGTACTCATTTTCCGACATCTTTAAACAGAAAATACAATTTATAATTATAGAAAAGGAAACGAAAACGATATAAAAACTTGTTTCTATACTACTTTGACGTTTTACTTGACAGCAGATGTCTTTGACCAAGTTTTTTTTTTTTCGCGGGAAACTTTCGAAATAGTAGGGCGCTTCTTTCGAAATCTTTAAATATTTTTTGTAAATTCTTCAATAAATAGTGTAAATTTTTAGTAGATTTTTAAGTATAAATATTATTTATAAGCAGTCGTTGTATATTTATAGTTAGACATTAAATTGAAATGACAAAAAAGCGGAAAAAACCAAAGAAAGATGAAGGAGAGAGCTGCTCGGGTGAGATCTTTCCAGATAATATTTCAGAGAGTAGCAACTCTAGTTATTCCGACACATTCAGTGCAAATATTGCAAATGATGAAAAGGAAAAATATGTTCCATATAGGGTTTCTGATTACAGTAGAAGGTATCCTGAAGATGCTGCGACTGGTTTCGAATTTGTAGTCTTTATTGAAAGTTCTATTGAACAGCCTCTCGGTAGCAGGGACATGATGTACCTGAGTGGTTGTCTATCTAGATTTGTAAAGGGCATAAAATACTTAAAAAAAATCAATCGTTTTAAAATTGGCGTAGTTTTTGATCGACCAAATTTAGCAAATGCATTTATGGATAATTCCACATTTTTGAGGGAACAGTCCATCAAAGCTTCAATTCCTGCAGGATGTACCGAATTATCTGGAGTTATTACATCCGTACCCATAGATATGTCCAATAAAAAAATTTATAAAGCATTGTCCAGCTCAAAGAAAATTATTTGTGTCAGACGTATAATGCGTAAAAATAAAACTAGCAGTAACAGTTTCGAATTACAACCCACTCAAACTGTTGTAATAACATTTGCGGCAACATGCCTACCAGATTATGTACATATTAAAATGTGGCGCCTTCCAGTAATTCCATACATCCCTCCAGTAAAGCAATGTTTTCGTTGTCTTAAATATGATCACCTAGCAAAATTCTGTAAAAATGCTCAAAGATGCTCTATTTGTACAGAGGGTCACTCTTTTAAGGAATGTACAGTTCCAGTAGATAAAGCAATATGTATACATTGTAAGGGTAACCATTTAGCGATATCAGGACAGTGCCCAATCAAATTAAAGAAAATTTATGAAAATAAAAACAAAACTGTAAATAAATACTCAGATGCATTAAAATCAAATAATTTTCCATCTTTAAATAAAACAGAAAATACTCATGACATAATGGAATTAGTTTTAAAAAATAGTTCTGCATTAAATCTCATCACTGAAGCAATTGTCAAAGTAATCACATTGAACAAAACAGAAAATGCTAGTATTAGTTCTCAATCAATAAGTAGTGCAATAAAAGAAACTCTATTAAATAAAAATAATTCCCCTCCACATTCCTGAATTGTGTTAATATTGTACAGTGGAATGCACAAAGTTTGCTAAATAATAAACTTGAGTTCCAAAAGTTTCTTTATGATAATAATATACACATAGCTCTAATATCGGAAACTTGGCTCAAACCCAATATAAAAATTGAAATACGCGGATATAACATAATCAGAAATGATTGTGGAAATGATCACAATGGCGTAGCCATCGTCATTAAAAATGGTATAAATTTTCAACAGCTACAAACTTTCTATGATGATACTTTGCAAAATATTTCAATCAAAATAAAAATAAAAAATAAATTTATTTCGATTATAAGTTTTTACAGTCCTGGTAGTGCTAATTTTTCAAAACACAAATTTGATTCTCTCTTGCATAGTGTTCCAAAGCCGTTGATTATAGCTGGTGACTTTAATGCTCATCATACTTTCTGGGGTTGTTCTAGTACTGATTCTCGAGGCAGAGACATCATGGATTCCTTGGATGAGAATGGTTTAGTACTCTTAAACAACGGGATGCCAACAACAGTAGGTTCTCACATCTGGAGGCCCAACGGCCTAGATCTCACTATGGTCTCTTCGTGCTTAGTTTTGTCTTGTGAGTGGTCAATACATAATGATTCCTTAGGCAGTTATCATCTGCCGACTATAACAAAATATTCTCTTGACATTAGTGATGGTGTGTCCTTTGTTGAGTCTTCGAACATTCCTCCACATATTAATCTGAAACTAGTAAATTGGAATTTATATAAAAAATACATAAATGATAACTTGATAAATTTCCAAATCAATAACTCAAACATATTGGAATCATATAATAATTTCTGTTCAATTATTAATAAAGTAGCTCAGGACTCAATAACTAGTATAAATAATAGTAAACATAATAAGGTGGGTCACTTGTCAGGGTTTAAAAAAAGAACACTTCCTTGGTGGAATGATAATTGTGCTAAAGTGGTTCAAAATTGCAAAAAGGCTTATATACTGTTTAAATCTAGTCCTTCTTTATGTAACTATATTAACTTCAAAAAGGCGCAAGCCCTAAAAAAACGCACTTTACGTCAGGAGCGCTGTCAGTCTTGGCTTGAATTTTGTACCTCTGTTAATAGATTAACACCGATGAGTCAAGTGTGGACTCAAATGAGAAAATTAAAAGGTTCTACCTCTAATACCACATTGTTTTCCAATTATGAATGGAGTTCTGATTTTTTATACAAATATACACCAGATACTGTCCAAAATGATAGCAATCTTCTGCCAGACACCCAAGTTAATAATACTAACTCTTACATGATAGAACCATTTTCACTTCAAGAATTAAAATCTGCTTTAAATTCTAGGAAGGAAACTGCTTGTGGATTAGATTGGTTGTCATATAAAATGTTCAAACTGTTGAATGATACCAGTCTCGAAATTTTTTTAAATATTTTAAACTTGTTTTGGTCTCTGTCTATTATACCAGAAGAATGGAAGACAGATTGTTTGGTTCCAATATTAAAAAAAGGGAAGGATTCTAATTCTGCTCACTCATATCGCCCTGTCACACTCAGCTCTTGTGTAGGTAAAATTTTTGAGCAGTTAATAAAACAAAGACTGACATTCCATATAGAAAACAATTATATCTTACCATCTAACCAATTTGGCTTCCGATGTGGCCGTTCTGCTCGGGAGAGTCTAAGCCATTTGTGTCTGGACATCCATGATACTCTGTCTCAGAATAAAATTATGGCATGTGTCTTCTTCGATATTGTAGGGGCTTTTAATAATGTTGATTTAGGTGTTTTATATTCAGTTTTGTTATCATTAAATATACCTGCAAAAATAGTAAATTGGATTTACAAATTTTTAAATGGCCGTAAGATATTTGTGAAAATCAATAAACAGTTAATTGGTCCAAGATATTCCTATAAAGGAGTGTCTCAAGGTGGGATATTAAGTCCCTTGTTGTTTATTTTATACATCCATCAATTAAATATTGTTTTAGGTAATAATGTTTCTAACCTACAATTCGCTGATGACTTGGTAGTCTATTGTTCAGGTTTGAATAAGCTGGATATCCAAAATAAACTTAATACTGCCCTAAAAAGCCTACAAAAATATTTTCAAAATCTCAATCTAGATGTGAACAATGAAAAAAGTAAGGTAGTCATATTTTCAAAAAAAGCTGTAAAACCTAATTCAATTAAAATATACTATAACAATGAAACAATGCCTATAGATAATACAGTTAAATTCTTAGGTGTTACATTTTGTAGCAATTTTAAATGGAACAGGTATGTTGATTATTTAGCAAACAGAGCTCTCAAAGCTTGCAATATTTTAAAATCTTTAGCTGGAGTATATTGGGGTGCTGATCCAGCTACACTGTTAGTTCTGTACAAGTCTTTGGTTAGGAGTCATTTTGAATATGGTTTTCTATGTTATAAACAGGCAACTAATTTGGTAGAGAAATTAGAAAAAACTCAAAATAAATGTTTAAGGATCATTACAGGTGCCATGAGATCAACACCAATCATCTCTTTACAGGTAGAATGCAACATACCTCCTTTATCACTAAGGTTCAAATATCTTCAAGCAAAATTCTTTCTCAGTATTTTTTCAATCAGTGATCACCCTCTTGTTTCTAAGCTAAGACATGCTGCCAGCAAAGCTGATGTCGGTTCAACCTCATTAATCCAGGGTTTTACTGAAAATGTACAGTTTTTTCATGATAATAATTTGTTTTCTAGTATTATTTGGCCTTGCTATTTAGGAAATTACAATTCAAAATTTTGTAAAGTTAGTATAGTTATAAATGAACAAAAATGTAAACAAGATGTATATAGACAGTTAGATAAGTGGAGGGATTACAATCATTTATACACAGATGGCTCTAAAAACAATAATGCTGTATCCTTTTCTGTGTATAATAAACAAACTCGAAGTGGGTTTGGACATAGGTTAAATGATATGGCTAGCATTTACACAGCAGAATCTCTTGCTATTTTATTTGCTCTGGAATATATTGCAAGTCAGCAGGGAAAGAAATGGTTAATAATTACAGACTGCATGAGTATATTAAAATCACTTCAAAACCCTAAGTGTATTTCAAAAACTAGTTACATAACTCACAACATTCGTAAGCAATATTCTTCTTTGTCTCATTCTAAAGAAATCACTTTTTTCTGGACTCCGTCTCACATAGGTGTGTTTGGAAATGAACAAGCAGATTACCTGGCTAAATCAATTGTTGATCATTATGAAAGTGTCCCAATTTTAAATTTTCCAATTCCTGCTTCTGATGCTTTATCTCATGTTAAATCCTCAGCTGTCAAGGAATTTTATGACGAATGGCAACAAATTGTTCAAAACAAAGGAAAGTGGTTGGCAGAGATTAAAACCAAGATTTCTCCTCCATGGTTCTATGGAGGAATCTTTCGAAACAGAAAATTCTACACCACTATTTGCCGATTACGCTTAGGTCATTGTCGTTTTGGTGCCCACTTGTTTCGCCTTGGAGTCTTATCTTCATCAACATGTGAATTTTGCAACCTTGCTGAACAAACTCTTGATCATTTAATTTTCAGTTGTCGTTCTTTTAGTCTCCAACGTATAATTCTTATAGACAGTCTTCTGTGTATATATAAAAAAGCTGATGACATCCCGCGTTCGCTTCAGCAACTTCTGAAGAAAAAGGAGTGCTTTGTATATATTTACGAATATGTAACCTCAACCATTGGGGAAATCTAACGTT